CAAATTGCCCAGTACATTTTACTTTTAAAATGTAAAAAGCAAGCAACCAAGCAAACCAAACAAACCAACCCTTCAAAATGTAATTGATTAATTTCTAAATTAGGACTATGAAATCGCACAATCCTTATGATGACTTCATAGTCCAAACACTGTGGAACTGTTGGATACACAGAGAAAACTAATATCGTGACTATAAGAATTTATCTCTTCTTGCTTATACTGAAAACAATGTATTAGGAATGGAACTGACTAAGCCTGTAGGGTGGAAGGTTGGAAGTCTGCAACCTCCTTTCCCAGAAGTTCTGTGGGTATTTAGACCCTGCCCCTGCCTCCTGCTTTAGGGTAGCCGCTTGGTAGTCCCGCTGCTGTCAGCTAATTTCTAGGGAGTGCTTCATCTACTATCCTCCTCCTTAACCCTAGCACATGAGAGAGATAAGGCTCTCACACCCCATGCTGCTTTTCTGGCAATTAAAGAATCCAAAAGAAAAGAAGAAAATGAAATAATCTGAATAATGCTACCTCATGGCTGCATTTCAGAGTAGGGTAACTATAGATTTCATCCCCTCCTCCTTGTTAAATTTTCTTTCTCCAGACCAGAGGGAGGGACTGGAGAATCTCCAGGGGCACATGGACAACCATGCCTCACTTGTGGGTGCAGACTTAGGATATCTACAGTCTGTGAATGTCGGAGCCTACCTAGAATACAGACTGACATTCACAACAGGAGTTAAGCAAAGAAACATAAAATATGACAGTAAGATTACAAAACTCTACTAATATATCTAGAAGTATGCTTCACTTAAATCAGTGGGACTTATTTCTGGGTGAATATGCATAAGACTGTGTTGTAGTGAAACTGTGTTGATATGTTTATGCCATGTGTGGTTCTGGCATCCTTATTAAAATATATTCGTAAAATTAAGTTTTTCAAACTTACCTCTGAACAGGCTAAGTGCTTTATATTATTAAACCAATCCACATGAGCACGGCAGTGATCAAATGCATGGATAAGTTCATGTGCAACCACTCTGTTCATTTGAGATTGACTACGTATATTGTTTTGGCACAGAACAATCTGCAAACAAAGTTAACCAGAAAATTCCAAAGACATTTTAACAATGTCTATAAGTTTCATGCATTTTAGTTTTAGGGCTTTCATGGCATATTGTGCTTTCAGGATTTTCCTGTTCTTTATGCAGCATTGTTCAACTATTCGCTAGATGTGGCACAAAAGAACTTGGGAGGACTATTCATCTGGCTTCCCCCTCTCTTTCCTCTTCTGGGCACGAAGAGCTTCCCAGAGACTACCTACACATATTAAAAACAAACTAACTACAAACTAAAAATCAGCTGCTATCATTACAGTCTGCCATTTCTATCATGATCTATACTTACCAAAAAATACTGAATGAAAAATATACAGCCCCCAGCGTCTGCTTATGCGTGAGAAGCACCGTGACCAGAGGTGGTTTGGACAGCCCATCACCAGGAATAGATGCTTTATCACTGAGCTCTGCCTGTCCCCAATTTATCTGATTTCCTGCTATTGTTATCCAGAAATAACACAGTCTAAACTTAATATAATGAAGTTAGCTTACAAAAAGATGAGAAAAAACTATTAATAGAATATGTTAACCCAACAGGAAAAAAAAAAATCAGAGGATTAACAGCAATACTTTATAAAATCTTATTTGAAACGGACATTTAAAAAAACTCTAATAAACTCTAATATTCAACACTGATTACAGACTCAACTATTTTGTCTTACTAACATCGCAGAACATAAAAAGCTGCAAGCATGAAGGGGAAAAAGTTCACAGTTTACCTGTGATACTGAAGAATCAAATCCTCCACCAACATGTTTATCACAATTTTCACATGAAATGTGTCGGTTATTGGTGACAGTGCTAAAACAATTGAAGAGTTACACATGTAACAAGTGACTTCAAAAGAAATATAATACATAGTATTCATATAATAATCTTTAGACATAAATTATCTCACCAGCCAGAATTCTTCATAGCATCAAGTAGCAGTTTAGCCTGTGGACCTAGAATAAACATTGGCATAGTAGTTCATTTCTAAACAAATCTGTTGTTCAAAGAAAAAAAAAATATAGAACACGTCTTTAAACACTACCCCAGAAACAATTTATAGATATCATAATCAGAGCACAAAAATGGACTTGATCAACTTAAGAGATACTACTGGTAAAATCCTGAGTGTTTACTCAGATATAAAATCTCCCTAATTAAAAAAAGTTTAATAATGTTCAAGTGTACATAAGAATTTTGCAGTCGAGGAACACAGAAAGTCTGTGTGGAATCTCAACTGAATGTTCTACCTTGATTAAAACTTTGAAAAAAAATACTCTTTTGATGCTGAACGCCCACTTCTAGGTATCACAGTAGAGACCTGAGACAAGAGCTCCCACTTTGCTGACTTTGCCAATCTTCTGTGCAGGTACAGAAGGAAATCAATACTTGTTAAAGGAAATCAACACTTTTTTTTTGCTGAAGGGTATCAACCTGTCAATGCTTAGACAGGAGCATAGAAGTAGAGCATCTTGCTCTTCCATAACTCACTGAAACTTTATTTCTATATTCAGAGAAAGAAGTGCTGCTTCACGGAGCCCTATTAGGAAGCTGTCTTAATAAGTTGTGTCCATCTAGCTTAAAATTGTCTTAAACATTGGCATAAGTTCTCCAAGATTTTAGCCAGCAGTCTTTCTCAGCTGTACTCAGATACAATGAATTGAACTGGACAACTTTGTGGTCTTTATACAAGTAGTCCTCACTTACAGACTGCCTCATTTAGCGACCATTCGAAGTTATGTGGTGTAAAAAAATAGCTTTCTGACCAACTCTTGCATTTATGACCATTACAGTGTCCTGCAGTCATGTGATCACCATGTGGGCACTTTGCAACTGGCTTGCGACAAGCAGAGTTAATAGAGAAGGAGGAAGTAAAATTGGACTTCTGGGGAAGAAATGGCAAACTGAAGGTGGCTCCACTAAAAGCGGAGCTGACGACCACAGCGGAATGAACAGCCACAAGCAGACCGGCTCTTTGTAATTCCTCTCTAGACAAGGGAGGACTTAAGATTGCCCACAAGTGTTCTAGGCAATTGGTCCTCATGAGGAGACTGCAAGAGAGCTGTCTCTGGTGGGTTTAGGACTCTAGGAGACAAGGGAATAGCCATCTTGCTGAAACTGCAGTTGGCACCTTCAAAAGGACACTGGGTTCACATATTTCCTATTCTAATCACTTTCAGAAATTGCTTGTTAACTGCTTTGCAGCTATTAGGAACCTTTGGATTGACACATTTTACAGCACCGGGTGAGTTTCTTTCAATCCTTAGCAAAATAAGTTTTAAATACAAGTTTAAGGACTTAAAAATTATTTTGGAATAAATAGTAAAAGACCGATTAGAACTTTGATTCTGGAAAGTTACAAACGGACTAAGGGTCCAGAAGGATTTGAAATAAGATTTTGGAATTAATTATAAGAATCCTTCCCGTGAGAAAATGCTTTTGTTTTGAGTTTTCTAAAAACAAAAACAAAAAAAAGATAGGATGAGACTTTGAAAGTTGGACACTAGAGGGAACCAGAAGGAACTAAAGAATACAATTAACGGAATAGAACACTTAAATTTGATAATACAGAATGAAACAAAACATTTTAACATTGGACATACTGAAGGATATTTTTGAACAATGGACCCAGAAGTTAATTTTAAGAGTGTCTGCCTCTAATATTTTTGAACAATGGACCCAGAAGTTAATTTTAAGAGTGTCTGCCTCTAATATTTTTGAACAATGGACCCAGAAGTTAATTTTAAGAGTGTCTGCCTCTAATATTTTTGAACAATGGACCCAGAAGTTAATTTTAAGAGTGTCTGCCTCTATAGAAAGAGTGTGTTTCAAAGATACTATGAAAGAACAAGCTTTACCTGACAAGATTGAGACTGATCTGGAAGTAGATTTAAAAATGACAGGGTACAAGAATGATATGGAATAAGATGCTACACTGGAAATACAAAAGAAACTGGATGATGTCATAATAATTACAAGGGATATACAAATAACAAATCAAGAGAGTGACTTGGATAATTTTCCTATATTGGATTTATAAAAGAGGCTTGTTAGAGCTTTG